CTGCGGCCGCAAGACAGGTAAGGCAAGAGGCACTCAGCGAGCGCAGCCCGGGAGCAGAGCCACCGCTAGCCCTGGGAGTGCGACGGGGGCTAACCCGGGAGGGGCAGGACGTGTTAATGAGGGTCAGGCTGAGAGCACATCCCAGCTTCCCTGGGAGGCCTTTGCACGGCCCGTACTCGTCACGCTGCATTTGAGGGACTGGTGCACAGACGGACTGACGCGGTGTAGCCTCCTGCTGGTTGCAGCGGGCTCCAGGTCCAGGCCGGGATGCCACGCTGAGACCAACGCGCTCAGGCAAGAGCCTGCCCTGGAACTGTCATTTCCCCATGTTTCTAGGGTGAGGTGAGGACTGCCTGCTCAGGCCGCCCGCCGGACTTTCACAGGTTCCAATGGCACTGCTCCAGTGACATGTGTCTTGGCTCGAGGCTGTTGCAGGACTATGCTGATGCTTGATCCCAGTGACAGCTGGCACCGAGGGGGGTCTCTGTGTCTGTGCATCAGGGTAATTAACCTCACGGGAGAGTCCGGATTGGAGCAGGGGGGCTGAACCCTGGGAGGAGAACGTTCTGGATGTCCTCAGATGGCTGCTGTTAATAATAGTCACATTCCAGTCGAGCCCGAGGCCCCTGTATTTCAGCCTCACACTAGATCATAGAATCATAGACTATCAGGGTTGGAAGGGACCTCAGGAGGTATCTAGTCCAACCCCCTGCTCAAAGCAGGACCAATTCCCAACTAAATCATCCCAGCCAGGGCTTTGTCAAGCCGGACCTTAAAAACCTCTAAGGAAGGAGATTCCACCACCTCCCTAGGTAACCCATTCCAGTGCTTCACCACCCTCCTAGTGAAAAAGTTTTTCCTAATATCCAACCTAGACCTCCCCCACCGCAACTTGAGACCATTACTCCTTGTTCTGTCATCTGGTACCACTGAGAACAGCCGAGCTCCATCCTCTTTGGAACCCCCCCTCAGGTAGTTGAAAGCAGCTATCAAATCCCCCCTCATTCTTCTCTTCTGGAGACTAAACAATCCCAGTTCCCTCAGCCTCTCCTCATAAGTCATGTGCTCCAGCCCCCTAATCATTTTTGTTTCCCTCTGCTGGACTCTTCCAATTTTTCCACATCCTTCTTGTAGTGTGGGGCCCAAAACTGGACACAGTACTCCAGGTGAGGCCTCACCAATGTCGAATAGAGGGGAATGATCACGTCCCTCGATCTGCTGGCACTGCCCCTACTTATACAGCCCAGAATGCTGTTAGCCTTCTTGGCAACAAGGGCACACTGTCAACTCATATCCAGCTTCTCGTCCACCGTAACCCCTAGGTCCTTTTCTGCAGAACTGCTACCTAGCCATTCAGTCCCTAGTCTGTAACAGTGCATGGGATTCTTCCGTCCTAAGTGCAGGACTCTGCACTTGTCCTTGTTGAACCTCATCAGGTTTCTTTTGGCCCAAGCCTCTAATTTGTCTAGGTCCCTCTGTATCCTATCCCTACCCTCCAGCGTATCTACCACTCCTCCCAGTTTAGTGTCATCTGCAAACTTGCTGAGGGTGCAGTCCACGCCATCCTCCAGATCATTAATGAAGATATTGAACAAAACCGGCCCCAGGACCGACCCCTGGGGCACTCCGCTTGATACCAGCTGCCAACTAGACATGGAGCCGTTGATCACCACCCACAAGGCAGAATGGCAGACTGCGCTCCAGCAGCTCCCTGCAGACGGCTAAATATTCAGTCAGGACTGGGGGGCTCCATTCGGAGCCTGAGGACAAGGAGCCTTTTGTGTTCCAGCTACTTAGAGCAGGAGCTCGTTTTCTCACACTTGGGATGTAACATGGCGACTTAGGAGTGGAAACACCAGGGTGCCCAGATGCCATGGTGAGGGGTGCTGCAGAAACCTACCTAGGGCTAGCTGCCGGAGACGCTGACAGACCAGCTGCCAAGGCCCCTAGGCTCTCAGCTGAACACTGACTGATACCCAGCGGGAGACCAGTCTGGCTCCCCTATGGGTTAATGTTGTTCAAACAGATGTGAAGTTGATAAGAATGTTCAGTGCTGAGACTTGATGAAATGCTTGTCGGACACAGCACGTAGTAATCTCGCTGACAACGTCCGGACCCCACGTTGTACTGAGCGTTTGCCTTGCAAAGCTCGTTAACTGTGTGACTCATCCAACAGGAAAGCAGCATTAACGAGCTTCCTACAGTGGTAGCTCCGCCCACCAAGGCAGCCCATTGAAACCAATGAGCCATCGTGAGACAGCCAAGAACTAAGACCTTGTTAATTGTTCCCCTACTCCCCCTGAAGAGGAGACGTGCAGGTGGACTCATCCCATCAGCCTGAACTGTGGGGGAAGGGAATAATCCCTGACCAGAAGGAATTGTGTCTTTTATGTTCACTAAGCATAAGCAAAAGATCCCCAGTGCTTGGCCTGGGCGAGCCCTACAGGACATACAGCGCTTGCGCATTATTTCCCCTTTTGGAACCTAGAGCTTGTAACTCACTTGTGTGTCTAGAGTTACTTGTGTTAACCTTGCAGATCACTATTTCGTTATTAGCTCTTTAGTTCGTTTAGTACAGGATTGGCTACAAGCGTGGTCTTTGGTGTAAGATCTAAGGTGCAATTGACCTGGGGTGCCTGGTCCTTTGAGATTGGGAGTAACCTGAATATTGTTGAGTTTTGGTGTAAGGGACCATCTATCACAAAGGCAGGCTCCCCTGGGTGACAAGGCAGACCGGAGAGCCGCAGGGGGCTGTCTGTGACTCCATGCTTAGGCTGGTGTAGTGCCTGAGTTCACACTTGCCACTTGGTTAGTGATGTCTATAGACGTCACAGCCAGTTTAGGGTTTGTACCCGTTTCTTCACAGTCTGCCCTGAGCTTGGTACCCACACCCTGAGCCACTGCAGCTCCCCAAGCCGGGACAGCTCCTGGCTGGTGACACACTAGAATCTGAGCAGCTGGTTTTCTGAAGGAGCTAACGAGGCTAAGGGAAGAGCTCCCATTGTCAGCAAGGCCGCCTGGCGCTAAGGGCACGAGGGAGGAGCAGGGAAGAGACCAGCCAGAGTCAGGCTGTTGTGAAGGCCAAGACTATAACAGAGTTCAAAAGAGAACTAGATAAGTTCATGGAGGATAGGTCCATCAATGGCTATTAGTCAGGATGGGCAGGGATGGTGTCTCTAGCCTCTGTTTGCCAGAAGCTGGGAATGGGCGACAGGGGATGGATCACTTGATGATTCCCTGTTCTGTTCATTCCCTCTGGGGCACCGGGCATTGGCCACTGTCAGCAGACAGGATCCTGGGCTCGAGGGGTCTGAGCTGGTGGGGCAGCATTTATGTTCTTATAAAAATCCAGGCTCCCACGTGCCATCGAAAACCAGCTCCATGGAACAAACTCATCTACCCTCCTGTCCCCACATGTGTAAGTTAGAGTCTGTGAGTCTGTGAACGTGTAAGGTCGCAAGAGACCCCTGTGATCTAGTCTGCCCCCCTGCATAGCACATGACTGCCCTGAACTAGCGCCGAGCTTCCAGACACACGTCCCATCTGACAGAATCCACCGCATCCCCTGGCAACTGGTTCCAGGGGCCAGTCACCCTCATCGTAAACATTTGGGCCTTACCGCCATGAATTGGTCTAGCTGCAACTCCCAGTCAGGGGATTGCGTTAGCCGTCGACATGTCTGGTAGGAAGGTGGCTGCCCCGGGCCCAGCAGCCCAAGCCCAGCGCCTGTGGTCCTGGTGCCGCGTGCCTGCAGCACCCAGGGACTTTGGGGGTCTGGGGGGGCTCAGCCCCCTTGGAAGCCGGCTGTGAGCACACTAGGAGCATGTGCAAGCCCAGCAGGGGAAGGTGGGACACACCCAGCCGCGAGAGGGGGGTGGGGCACTGTCCTGGGACAGAGCGTCGCATTAGCTGGAGCTGCAGGGCGCCGAAGGCCGGGGAGCAGCCACCAAGCTGTTTGTGCCCCAGGGGAACTCCGGGGATGTGGCTGTGATGTAATAGAGCCGAGTGCTCTGCCTGTACAGGGCTTTCCAGCTGTCGTGCTCACGGCTGGGGGACGCCGGCGGCCAAGGAGCTCACCCTAGATCACGTACCGATTCCCTGGCAGCGCTGATACCCGGGGCCTGCAGCGGCTCAGCCCACGGCCCGTGACCTGGCCGGGGCAGCCTGCAGGGCAGGGAGGGAACGTCTCTCGATGGAGACTGAGAGGCCGTGGCCGTTTGTGAGCCACGCTGGGTGTTGCAGAGAGAGACACAGACGGACGCAGCCGGCCACGCAGCACAGGAACGACTGGCTCCTGGGGTGCAAACAGACCTGGAGGCCACTGCAGCTGCTGCCCAGAGGAGCGGGAAGAGTTCCTGGGAGCACGGGGGGAAACCAGCAGCCTTGCAGGAGCCAGGATCACTGGGCTCATGTGCTAAGCCACTGCTGCCGGAGGGGGTACAGCCCCAAGCAGAGGGACAGGCCTCCGGGCGGGGCCGGAGGGGGTACAGCCCCAGGCAGAGGGACAGACACATACGTGGGGCCGGAGGGGGTACAGCCCCAGGCAGAGGGACAGGCCCCCAGGTGGAGCCAGAGGGGGTACAGCCCCAGGCAGAGGGACAGACCCATGCGTGGGGCCGGAGGGGGTACAGCCCCAGGCAGAGGGACAGGCCCCCGGGC